ATTTCAATCGCATTTACACCGCTAAACGGGCATGATTCTTCTTCGTTTTGCATTAGATACAACGTTTAAAGAACGTAGATTACTATTCTCTAGCGGTTGGACACTAGTAATTACAAGAACAATGTTAAAATCGCATTTGTTTGCAACGTTTGCCACTGTCACTCGTCATGCGTACCCCGGTTAGTTCACTTTAAATAGCTCTTCCAACGTTCTATGGACCAGTTACGTCTTGATCAAGCATTCAGTTTAAAGCTGAAAGAACGTAGATTAATCTCCTGTCATTGCAAATAACAATAAACGACCAGAACACTGTTAAAATCGCATTTAATCGCGCAATACCACTATTTTTTTGACTGGTGGCGCCAACCGTGGCAATTCGCTCAAACTGCTAGCCAAATTATACCGACAGGTGAGTGAAAATTCCTAGTGATGGAAAAATGCAAATATCTCAGTAATTAAACACTTAAAATGAACGCCAATAGTCTCAAATTATTCCTGAGAACTTACTGCAACGACCCAATACTGCAGACCCCGAGAATTAGTAAAATTATTTATAGCAGTATCAACGCTGACCCTTGATGAACGGCGACCCGGTTTTCAACACGTTTCTATCGCATTTACACCGCTAAACGGGCATGATTCTTCTTCGTTTTGCATTAGATACAACGTTTAAAGAACGTAGATTACTATTCTCTACCGGCTGAACACTAGCAATTACAAGAACATTGTTAAAATCGCATTTGTTTGCAACGGTTGACACTGTATCTCGTCATGCGTACCTCGTTTAGTTCACTTTAGACAACTCTTCCAACGTTATGCTGGCAGCTTCCGCCTTGGCAAAGCACTCCATTTGTAGCTGACAGAACGTAGATTAATCCCCTGTCATTGAAAATAACAATAAACAACCAGAACACTGTTAAAATCGCATTTAATTGCAGAATACCACTATTTTTTCGACCGGTGGCGCCATCCGTGGGGAATCGCTGAAACTACTAGTCATTTATTTGGCTAGCAGCTTCAGTGATTCGCCGCGGATGGCGCCACCAGTCGAAAAAATAGTGGTATTCCGCAATTAAATGCAATTTTAACAGTGTTCTGGTTGTTTATTGTTACTTTCAATGACAGGACATTAATCTACGTTCTTTCGACTACAACTCGAGTTCTTTGTCAAGGCGGAAGCTGTCAGCATAACGTTGGAAGAGCTATTCAAATGTGAACTAACCGGGGTACGCATGACGAAAGACAGTGTCAACCGTTGCAAACAAATGCGATTTTAACAATGTTCTTGTAATTGCTAGTGTTCAGCCGGTAGAGAATATTAATCTACGTTCTTTAAACGTTGTATCTAATGCAAAACGAAGAAGAATCATGCCCGTTTAGCGGTGTAAATGCGATCGAAATATTTTGCAATCAGGTACTCGCCCTATAGGAGGTTGCGGTAATACATCCATAACTAATATTATTAATTCAGGGGATCTGCACTATTGGGTCCATGCATTAAGTCTTCAGGGACAATTTGAGACTAATGACGTTTATTTTAAGTGCTTAATTACTGAGATACTTGCATTTTTCAATCACTAGAAATTTTCACTCAGCTATCGATATAATTTGGCGCGGCAATCCGCTTGCCAAAACGTTTCTATCGCATTTAAACCGCTATACGGGCATGATTGTTCTTCGTTTTGCATTACATACAACGTTTAAAGAACGTAGATTACTATTCTCCAACGGCTGGACACTAGTAATTGCGAGAACATTGTTAAAATCGCATTTATTTGCAACGGTTGACACCGTATCTCGTCATGTGTACCCCGGTTAGTTCACTTTGAATAGCTCTTGCAACGTTATGCTGACA